TTCCTTAGGGTCTTTGGAAGTGCTCAGGAGGTGATTTGCGGTGCCCTGTCCCAGTTCCTTTCACCCTGCTTGTGAGCAAAAGGTTATTTTGGGGTATTTTTTCATGTTGACTCTCTTGAACAGTCCAAGGGGTTTCTCCTTGGAGCTGCCACAAGAGCAGAAACCTCATTTCTGGATGGGATGGGAGAGACATGAGATGCTGCTGTAGGATGCCAGCAGTGAGGGTCCACTCTGTCCCTGGCACTGTGCCATGGCTGGTGGGCTCTGTGCCATCCTGCTGTCACAGCAGCCCAAAAAAGTGGGAAATGAGGATGCTCAGGGTGTCACAGCTCTGCTCAGTGCTGGGTCCAGGGCTTGCCCCAGCACCTTCCCAGCATTTCCACAGAGCATGGGCTGGGAGAAGCCACTTGGCTGCTCTGGGTCTCCTCCCCAGCCCTCCACAGTCCCCACATCCCAGTGAACCCCTGAGCAGCAAAATAATCACTTCCAGCATCATTATCCATCGCAAACCCCAGCTTCCAATTTTAATCAGAGGAGCTGGTGTTGCTTTAAGATCTGCGGGTTTTAAAGATCACAAGAGGGGTTAGAGAAAATTACCCTTGACTCTTACATGCTAATGTAATCTCTAACCAGATCTGCAGCACTGCAGCTAAAATTGCTTTTTAGATTAACATTTAATTATTAACAGGGCCCCCTGAAAGCCCCGGGGCTGGAGCACGCGGAGGGGAGCGGATTAGCCGGGCGGGATGAGGGAAGGTTGGGCCAGGGAAGGTCATGGGGTGACCTTTGGTGACAAACTTTGGGTTTTATTTTACCTGATGCTCCCCGTGGTTCACTGTGGGGTGACCTTTTTGTGCTCACCCCATGTAGGGCTGAGCTGTGGTGTTGCTGCATCCCCTCCTCCCTAAATCTGGATGGGAGATGGGTACGGCAGTGCCAGGCAGCAGCACCAGCCAAAATCCTGCTCACCCTGCCATGGGGTGGGCATCAACTGTGTGCAGAGGGGAATCCTTCCTCCTCTGGCACCTCCTCACCCTCACCATGGGATGGGAAATCTCATCATGTGGGACCAGTGGTGGTGGCAGTGGCAGGGGGTGGTGTCAGGGAGCTCCGATGTCCCCGGGGCTGTGAGGTGGTTGGATTCTCCTCCATCTGTGTAAGGACGAGGGACGGGGATGTTCCCAGTTGTACCCTGCACACCAGGGGCCAGTGAGGGCTTTTGCTTTGTTTCTCTGGTTGCTGCCAGCCTTAACCTTGCCCCGTGCTGTCCATGTGTCTGGCACTGTCAGGAGCCTCCTGTGCCTCTCCCAGCCGGGGTCACCCCTCACCTCCTGTCCTTGTGCCAAACCCAGTGCTGGCTTTTGATAGCCACAGGGTCATGGCCATGATGTGGCTCCACCAGCTTTGCAGCATCCCTGGTCCTGCCCCCCTTTCCTCTCCTAACCCCAAAAGCTCCCTTTTGATAGGATTGCACCCCAGTAACACCCGGGGAAGGATCTGGATGTATTCCACCACAGCCTGGATGGTGACCAAGACCTTGTCCCTCACCGTCCCTGCCCTGCCACAGCTCAGCAGCCACACAGACCCACTTCGGGCTGAGACTTTAAAAGTTCCTTTTTTCTTTTCTCCCCCCCTCCTGTCACATTTTCTTTTATCTAAATCCTCGCCTGCAAAAGCCTCTATCGACAGCTGCGCTGGCCTTATCTCGCGGGAGGGACCTTCGCAGGGCTCTCGGAGGAGATAAGCCCGACTTATCAGCTGCTGATGTCAGAGGAGGTGCCAAACCCTCCCATCACTGGGGCTTTAGACATAGAGGGTGGTGTTTTTTATTAAAGTCACAAAGACCTTGGGCTTATAAATAGTGTGATGTCGAGATGGATTAGCTGGGTGTGGGGCAGGATGGAGTGGTGGGAGAGGCGCAGGATGGAGCCGTGGCTCTCCCATCCCTGGAAATGTTCAAGGCCAGGTTGGACAGGGCTTGGAGCAACCTGGGCTAGTGGAAGACATCCCTGTGCATGGCAAGGAGTGGGACAGAATGGGCTTTAATGTCCCTTCCAATCCAAAACATTTGGTGATTCTATGATGCCGGAGTTGTGGGGTGTGGGGTTGGGGCACCTGGAGGACCTTGCTCCAGATGTCCCCAAGATGACCCCACTGTTGGTGGGACTCACCCTGTGCCCCAGTGCTGGGTGATGGCGTGTCCACGTGCACAGCCCGGGCAGAGGCCGCGCGGACTCGGGGCGTTCCAGCAAAACTGCTGAGTGTTGCCTTCCCTGCCACGAAAGAGCCAGAGCAGCTTGAACTAAATCGGATCCTGCTGATTGGAATTAGTTCAAATGCAGATGGAGCTAACTAAGCCGGCGCTAAGCGTTGGACAGCCCAGCGCCCAATTCCCATCAGCTGATTCAGGGGCTTTTCGGAGCGGCATTAGCGAAATGCCACCGTGGCACAGATGCCCATTGTGCCAGGCGCCCACCCACTCGCCCACGGGCCTTCTGGGGCTTGGGGCTCCCTGCAGGGTGCTGGGATGGACAGATGGATGCTGTTCTGGGGTTGTGGCACCAGAACCTTGCCTGGGAAGGTGGGGTGAGGCGCAGCGTAGCTGTCGGAAAAATCATCTGGGCTGCGAGACGCCGGGAGCAGGGTCTGAATTAATCGGGTGCCTTTATTCAGTTTGGTGTGTGGCTCTCCCGCCTGCTGCTGGTGATGATCCGAGCCCAGGGTCGGGATGGCTCCAGGAGGGAGCTGGGCTGTGCATGGCAGGGTGCAGAGAGCAGTGGTGGGGACGAGCTGTGCCAGCGTAGGGCTCTGCTGGGCCCTCAGCTCCTGTGACACGCTGCATTCACACCCGCTCTGTGCCCACACATGGGTTTGGTGACCCCCTGGGTGCTTTCTGAGCCCCGCGTGCCCCAAGGACCAGGAGGGAACTGATCCACGAGCCGCCCACGCCGCCCGTGTCTGCCAGGGACACGGGTCAGTGTCCCCATGAGGAGCTGCCTGGGCACAGGGAGAGGGTGACGTCCGCCACTAATCGGCCAGATGGTGACACCCGGCAGGACGCCAGCCCTGAGGTCACCGCGGAGCTCGGGCTCAGGTACAGCAGGAGCTGGTGCCACCATCCATCTCCTGCACGGCCGTGGGTGCTTTGATCCAGGGCCACCCTTTGGGGACAGGGATGAGGTCAGGGTGGCAGGTCCCATCATGGAAAATCCGGGTGCTGGGCACATTCCCGGGGAGCCGAGGCGCCGGGAGTGGGGCTGCGTAATGAACCCCGAGTCCCGGCGGGGAGAGGAGAACTCCTGGCAGTCAAGTGCGTTCAGGCTCTGAATAAGAAGCACTTCATTCTCCTTTCAAATTGTATAATTTCTGCCTGATTGTAATGGCATATTTTAAAATTACCAGAAATCGAAGCCAGAAAATGGATACGGCTGCTTTTACTGCGAGCTGCGTTAACAAAGGATATGTAATGCATGAAATAAAAACACCTCCCTGCCCCCCTCCTTTTTTTTTTTTTAAGACAGTAATAGGAGAAAATTGGTTTTGAAACTGAATAAAAGTCCCTTTCAGAGGAAATCATTTCTTTCAGGGTACCTTTGCTGAAAGTAAAATAGTGAATAATGAAAGGTGGTTACATGATTGTCTTTCATTTAGAGAGCGCGAGGACAGATGGAATCTGGGAGAAATGCACGATTGGAATAATTGCATGGTAACAAGGCGCTTGTTGTGAAATTAGTATCTTAAGAAAGTAGTGAAAAAGGCTTTTACTCATGAATACTTCATTATTAGGAGAAAACAGCACAATTTGGGTTCTCCAGACACCTGCTCGGTATTAGATGACTTCCTCCCCTCCTCCTCCTCCTCTTCCTCCTCCTCCTCCTCCTCCTCTTCCTCACACCTTTTCCTGACGAGTCTCTCCTTGTCCCTGGTTTGCTGGGGGAGTCAGGGTGAGACCCTGAGCCTGATGGGTCCAGCTGAGGCATGGACACCCTGCATGGATCCCATCCTGTGGATTATCCCCAAGCCTGGCACCCCCTGCCTGGTGGAGGGCACAGGGCAGGAGCGAGCAGCACAGGTCCCATGGTGGCTGCAAAGGTGTTTTAAAGGGTGACATTTAAATCAGCAGAGCTTGGAGAGCCCCGGGCACAGCTTAGGGAGCATCAATCCATGCTTTGTTTCCTGGTGCTGATGGTCACGGGCTCTGCCAGAGGCCACCACGTGCCTGAGGCCACCACATCACTCCCTTGCACTGGGACACGTGGGGAACATCCTGGATGGCTGCAGGAGGGCACGATTCCCCCACGAGGGAGAAGATGGAGTGATGGACCCAGCAGTGACACCCATCTATGACGTCCACTTGTGACCCCCAGCCAGCCATGAACGTTCAGCCAGAGAGCAGCAGCGCAGGAGCCAAAACGCTGGCGGATGGGCACCACGCCTGCTTTTCTGCTGCTCCTGCCCACGTCTCCCTGCCCTCTCCGAGTGGGAATATCGCTCCCTGCACCAGCTGGAGCAGTGGGAGGGTGTCAGCAGCAACTGGTTATACCTCAGGGCCCCGGCGGCTGGGGACGGATGTACAATGAGCAGCACCGTGGTGACGACGGCTTTGGCCTGACCCCTCCAGCTTTTGTCACGCAGATTTTGATGCCAGCTGGGAGCTGGCGACAGATCCCAGGACCCCAAGTGGGGATGTTAGCGCTGTCTTTCCCCAGCCTTGGCCGGGGTCACTCCGTGCCAGGAGGCACCGGCTGGCACGCCTGGCACCGCTGCGACGCCCCGGCTCCGCCACATTCCCGTTGGGAAGGGCGGGAAGCTCCGCAGGAAGCACAAATCACCCGCTGAGACCTTCATATTTATTTTATGTACATCCCTATTCACTTCAGGCTTTCAGAGTTGGTTGTTTATCTCCAGAGGAGCGACGGCACCGAGTGCTGGGGAGCTCCATGGGGGTGGTGGCAGGGGGTGGCAGGTCCCTGGCTCACCGTGTGTCTCCTCTCTTGCAGGGTGTGGGGCGGCAACGCCCGCAGGGAAGCCCAGACCATGCTGGCCTGCCTGCAGAGGACCCAGAACCCCCCAGCCCAGCACCTCCCCTGCCCCAACAAGGCGCTGGAGCCACGCAAGTGTAAGTGCCCCGGGGGCGGGCGCCCGCTTTGATGCTGTTTCCCTTATTGAAAAAGACATTTATTTAACCGATAATTAAAAAGAGCAGGAGAAGCGGGGAGGAGAGGGGGAGGAAGGAGCCAAGATAAGCAAATTAAATTGGGTTCTGTGGTTGATAAGTCCAACTTCAGCAAATGTTGCAGGGCTGCCTGGGAAGCGTGGTGGCAGCAGAGGATGGTGCAGCCGGCCCCCCAAACCTCCCCGGCCCTTCCCCCCCTAATTACTTTCCCCGTTTGTGCTGCAGCTCGCCTTCCCCAGGAGCTGGCCTTTCAGATAAGCTGTAAACTAGTTACATTAAAATGGGATCCAAAAGGTCACTCCAGCAAAGCACCTGTCTCTCCCAGCCTTTGTCTCTCAATCCAAACCGTGATTAAATGTATATTTAATGAGCCTGCTTTAGGCAGGCGTGTTTGACCTCCCCGGCTGGGAAAGACGCATTAAGATTCTCAAGTGATGAATGTGTGTTTTAAAGAGGGGAGTGGATATTTTTCTGCTGGTCTCAGTTGGATTTTTAAACATTGCTGGCTGAAGACAAATCAGCTGCTAAAGCTCTGCTTGTTAGGCTGTGACAGCCCCCGGGTGTTTGTTTAATGAGCTGGATTTTCCTGTAGATGTTTTTTTTTCCTCCTCTACCTGGGCACTCTGAGCAGCCAGGTGAGCTGGGCATGGGGTTTGGGCAAGCTGGGCATGGATTTTGGACGATGCTCAGCCTCTCTGAGGACCCCCAGCATTGTTTCAGCATTGCACTGCCAGCCAGGAGGGTTATTTATCCCTGGAAGTTCTTTTATCCCTGAAACTTGTCATTTTCATGGCCATGGACAGGGCTTGGAGAAGAAGGTGTGCCTGCTCATGTCAGTAGGGGAAGTGGGTGATCTTTAAGGTCACTTCCAACACAAACCATTCTGGATTCCGTGATTTTTTGTGTGAAGCTCCCCAATGGCCAGCACAGAGAGTGGGACACCCAGACCAGAGGTGGGGTTTTGGGCACCCAGGTGTCACAGTGCAGCTTGCACTGCACTGGAGCATGCAATGTCTCCCAGGTCTCCTCCTTATTGGTGTCTGGAAGGAAAAAGGATGCTGCTCTTGTAAAATTATTCGTAATCCGTCACGCCTGAGCATCACAGCAGCACAGGGCTGGTAAGAGGTGTCCAGCTCCTGGAGCACCTCGTTGCCATGGAATAGTGAGCTCAGCCATGCCCACATGGTCTGAGACCCATGGGCAAAATGAGCCTGACAGGGTTTTCTGGAGACTGGAGGTGTGCAGCATGGAGAATCTCTGTGTGAGCTCCTTGTGCTCCTGAGGTCAGGATACACCTGCTGGTCCCCACAGCATTCCCAACAGAGCTAAGGACCAGCTCAGCTCATGGAACAAAGCCCAGAGGCACCTTCCTGCTGGGGGGGTGGTGCTTTCTAGCATTTCCCTCCCTGCCATAGGTGCTGAAAGAAGGAGGTTTGGGAAGCCAGGCCAGGTTGGACAGGGCTTGGAGCAACCTGAGATAGTGGAAGGTGTCCCTGCCCATGGCAGGGGTGGCACTGGATGGGCTTTAAGGAGCTCTTATGTTGTGTCACATACGGTGCCATGGGTGCGACACCACATGTGTGGAGCATCTCTCACTGGGTGTGAGAGATGCTTCTGGATACAGCTGCTTGTGTCCTGGAAGGGTCCCAGCCCCAGGATCCCAATGGTCCTGGAGTTTTGCCAGTGGGACGAGGGCAGAGGTTTGAGCCCTGGCAGTGTGGGGTACCCTGGAGACAGTTTTTGACTGGTCTCACCCCATCCCTCAGGCAGGACCGTGCTCACCTGAGATCTCCAAGAGATTTGTGTCCCCTGGAATGGGTGGCAGCAGCCAAGCTCCTGCCCAGACCCCCACGCTGCACTCACCACGGGCTGCCACCAGCCAGGTCACCTTAATCAAAGTTTAGCTGCCCGTATGTTTCCGCTCATTACGGGCAAATCCGGCACGTCTCGCTCCTCTCTGCCTCCTGCCAGCGCAAATTAAATTGCAGGTGACATCCAGGGCCACGCATCTGGCTTGGAATACAATTTCCCCTTCCTTATTTATGGCACCTGTGGGAAGCAGGGTGGAGGAGCTGGGAGCAGGCACGGGGCTGCCACCGGAGCGCCCGCCGGGGAATCGGCACGGAGAGCGCGCTCTTCAAACCAGGCGCAATTTAGAAGTGCCTCTGATTACTTAATTTGCTCCTGAGTATCTCAGTAATTATCTTTATGGGTCTTATTTCTGTCCTCTGGCATTGTTTCTGTCGATATTAAATGAGTCTGGCTCTCGGCACATTGGCCGTCTGGCCCGGCACCACTGTGAAATCCTATTATCCTGCCCGCGCCGCTGATTAATTTTGGTATTAATTTCACGTAAAAGGTGAGCTGACTCATTTTCCTGCCCACGCAGGGAGCTGCTGGTGCCTTCACCCCTCGGTTCTGCCCCTGGCCTTTCCTGCTGATTGTTGTCCCCCCCATCTCTGTGCCTCCCACATCGGTGTGGCTGCATCCCAGCAGGCCTGGAGCATCCCACAAAATCCATCCTGACAGAGCTGGAGGTGACTTTGCTGCTGTTGCCAGCGGTGTTCCCAAGGCTGTTCCATAGGAACCAGCCTGGCATGCCTTGAGGAGGATGCAGGAAGGTGCCAGAGCCCTTCCAGCCCCAATCTATGCCTCCCTCCTCCAGCAGAGGAGCAGGAGCCTGCAGAGCAGCAGCATCCTCAGGAAAATATCACGTCCAATTAACTCCAGCAGCCTGGTCCCTTTTGATTTTATCCTGGGCGCGTTACAGGAATCCTGAGCTTTATTTAAATTATAAATCAAATGCCCCTCTCAGCTTGGCCAAACTCTTTGGTTGCTCCCACTCTCTCAGCAGGCACGGAGCAGTGGATGGTGTTTAATGGAATGTTATATTCCATGTGCCCTCCTCCAGCCAGCCTGGGGCTGGGAGTGTGGCAGGGAGCAGGATGTGTGTCCCCCAAAAGGGGCTGGGAGCCGTGGGGAGTTCACAGAGGGGAACATCCTGAGCATCCTCTGTGGCCTACAAGAAAGATGGAGAGGGGTTATTTACAATACTGTGGAATGGCAGGATGAGTGGGAAGGGCCTCACACTGCCAGAGGGAAGGGATAGATGGATTTTAGGAAAAAGTTCTTCCTTGTGAGGAAGGCGAGGCCCTGGCACAGATTGCCCAGAGCAGCTGTGGCTGCCCCATCCCTGGAAATGTCCCAGGCCAGGTTGGACAGGGCTTGGAGCAACCTGGGATAGTGGAAGGTGTCCCTGCCCATGGCAGGGGTGGCACTGGATGGGCTTTAAGGTCCCTGCAACCCAAACCAGCCTGGGGATTCTTTCACCATTCGCATCCTCCATGCCAGGGGTCCCATGGGAGCTGTCACCTCGGCCCCATGGGGACAGTGTGATAAATGGCTCTTTGGGGGTGGCACAAACCCTCCCGGGGGCCATCTGGGTATTTAAACACTAACGAGGAGATGGCCCTAATGAGAGGTGATGGCCAGGGCTCCCTGCCAGGGACTCAGCTCCAGGGTCACCCACAGCTCTCCCTGCACCTGTGGGGACTCTCATCAGTGTTAAACCAGTTAATTGCACACAGGATGAGGCCCCATTTAATGGCCTCTCGTTACCCAATTCTGCTTGTTCCAAGGGCATTTTCATTAGAGTGGCTGCAGCGAGGCTTTGCTTTTGTACACACCCATAAAATATCATTTTAATTTCATGAGGGGTTACACATGAGTGAAGTAAGATTAATTCTTTCATTTTCAGTTTCTGGAAGGGATCGGTTAATGATGGTTCTGTGTATTTATATACGTGCCATAAAAAGGAGTTCAATTAACTGCTGGGCCCAAAATGTGCTGTTGACTTGCACTTTCCCTGCCAGGAATTGCTGCAAAAACACTTTTCCATTGGTCATGTGTGGAGGGTGAGCTGGAGCTGCTCAGTGCCCATCTCCTGCCAGGTCAGAGCCCTGGATTTGGGGTGGCTCTGGCTGGTAATGGTGCAGTGCACGAGGAGGTTTGTGTCCAAACTTCCCAGGATTGTGATGGTTCATTGGCCACAGAGCAGCCTCCTGGGCACTGGCAGACCCCAGGAAGGGGCACCCTGCTTTGGGGGTGCCCACCCTGCTCCCCTTGGCAGATACAGAACTCGTATCTGAAATTAATTAAAATATTAATTGGCTGTGGATGAGTGAGCAGAGGGGCTGGGGGCAGCTGGCATGAGCTGCAGGGCCAACAGAAGTGGTGGGGTCCCCTCCTCATGGCATCAGGGCCGCTGAGAGGCGGCACTGGGATGGCATTGGGGTGGCAGTTGTGCTGGGGTGCCCTCAGGGCTGTGCTTGGGCAGCCTTGGGTGACATACAGGTGACATTAGGGCAGTATTGTGACAGCATCATGGTGGTGCTGAGGTGGCACTTGAGTATCGTGAGGGTGGCATCAGGACAGCATTAGGATCCACTGGGGCAGCATCAGGATGGCTTTGGGGTGACAGTGGGGGCAGCATCAGGATGGCTTTGGGGTGACAGTGGGAGAGCATTGGGATGGCTTTGAGGTGACAGTGGGGCAGCATCAGGATGGCTTTGGGGTGACAGTGGGAGAGCATTGGGATGGATTTGGGGTGACAATGGGACAGCACCATGCTGGCTTTGGGGTGACAGTGGGAGAGCATCAGGATGGCTTTGGGGTGACAGTGGGGCAGCATCAGGATGGCTTTGGGGTGACACTGGGCTGACAGTGGGACAGCATTGGGATGGCTTTGGGGTGACAGTGGGGCAGCTCCACGCTGGCTGTGGGGTGACAGTGGGGCAGCTCCACGCTGGCTGTGGGGTGGCACCGGGGCATCCTCGCAGCGGGGCACGGTGGCTGTGGTGGCTGTGGTGGCACAGAGCACGGTGCCTGTGCAGGGCTGATACCTCGTGGAGGAGACAAATGGGAAGTGACACGTGTGTGTGTAG